CTATATACATATATATATATATATATATATATATATATATATAGGGTGCGGTTTGTCTAGAGCATAGGCTCTAAACAAATTAGAGCCTACGTTCAAATAGTGTTGAGAAATGTATTTTCAATACTTAAAATATTTGTGATAACCTTGAAATATATTTTCATCTTCATTTATAAAGTTTAAAGCTTTAAAAATAGTGTAGATAGATAGATTTATGAAAACTTGAAAATCTTGAAAATCAATGGTCAAAAAATGTATGACAAAATATGCTATTTGCAAAACATTAAATCCATTGTTTTCTCATGTTCATGCATCTTGATGTCGAGATGATCAATTTGAGGATATTTGGGCATCAAAACAACCCCTTTTAGTAAAAAAATTTAGGTAGGCTCAAGTTTGATTGTTTAGAGCCTCGGCTCTATATAAACTTTTCCCACACACACACACACACACATATATATATATATAAAAGAAAAGTCTTCCCAACGCCTATAGGCAAAAATTAACAGTGATTTCGCCTACTCTTGTAGACACCCCATTTTAAATATGGCAAATTCTATGGTTTTCTTAACATTATCCTATTAGACCCAATTTAATTACCTAAAACTACCCAAATCTTATTCCAATTTGAAGTAGAGCTTAAGAGCTTTCCAATTGTCCAAGAATCGCTTAAATCGAACCTACAAATAAAACGATATAACAAATGATAATTTAGTCCCTGTGAGACCCAACTGTCGGGCCGCGGGTCGCGCTGTAACATGCCCGACATGCTCATACGCAGGCTGATGATGCAGTAAACACGTTTTTTTTAATTAGATAAGGCTAAAACTTCAAGATAAATCCAAAAAATTCCGAAAAAAAATCTAAAAAATTTAAGAAAAATCACCAATTGAATCTTGTAACCCCCTCTCCCTAACCCAAAATGAGAGAGAAAAAGAGACCAAAAAGAACTTAAAAATTCTCAAAATTAAGAAAATTACCAAAAAATACCTAAAATAAGAAAAACCCTTGGAAAATTCCTAAAAATTTAGGAAAATCCCAAAAAAACCCAAAAAATTAGAGAAAATCTCAAAATTCATATTCAACCTATGGAGATCACAAAACCCTTAAAAAAGTAAGGAAATTCTCCTCCAGACCGACAGCTTTAGAAAAATCCCTAGATTGAAAACCCTAGAGAAGATAGAAACCGTAGCCTCCTGAAGTCCTAACCCCCAAGATTGAGAAAACCTAGACCTAAGGTATAAAAACCCTAAATCAAAACTACAATTAACGTACAACAACCCTAGATCTAACCCTTAACACAGGAGATCTGCTAGTCAATATCCAAATCAGAGAGGCAAAGAGGACCGGTTCTGAAACGGGCGAGCCCTCAAAGGCTCGGGAATCCCGGGCCATTCGGCCCGATTTGGTATTATTTCTTCCTTTATTTTTCTTCTTCTTTTTACTGTTTTACTTTTTTTAATTTATTTTTGATCTATTAACTTATCTAAAAAATCATGTTTTAATGCTCTGGATCATAATGGCTCTACCACATATTTAAGAGTAATCTGCTCGTTTTCGGGCAAATTTGGCCTCAGATCTGAATTCTATATGTCGCTTTCTCTAACACTTTATTTACATCTTTTGAATTAGTTTAAGGTGTTAAAATTCGAAAGATCTTCATCGGAAGATCTGTTAGATTTTCATCATAAACAAACTTCATCACCGTCTAAAGTTCATCGTACGGTCACAATTGTTCGGTAGTGTTTCATTTTTTATTTTATTTTTACAAATCGGAATGATATGAAATTTCGATTGTATATAAATCTTAGTGAGGTGCATCTAATAAAAATAATAATTCGTGAAAAACAAATTGATCAAAATACATTTGAAACATTTCGGGGGTATTTTGATCAACTTATTTTATGTAAAATAAAGTTTTTTCATTTTTCATAGATTCATCTATTTTTTATGAACATACGTTCCAAATTTCTGATCATTCTGATTTATAAAAAAAAAATGAAAAATAAAATACTACTAAACAATCGTGACCATACAATGACAAAATCATTATTCATTTTT